CCCCCCCTTAGGTGGGCTATTGGGGAGGGTTGGTGATTAGAATAATGTAGGAGACTTTTTTCTCCCCTCCAATTTCATGCCCAAATGTGTATGATTATGATTCTGGAAACGAAATCCAGCAATCGTTCTAGAGTTCGTGTGTTTTTTTGGTTAGAATCGGCTAAGTTCTTACTTTCTCATGTTGTGTACTTTCTCTTGGTTTCTAAAGCTCACAATACTGAAGGTTTTTTACTCATTCAGAGGTTTCTTCTGAAATAATTTTGCAGTCAGAAGGACCAGAGATATGCTCGAGCTTACATAGATTTTACGCGACCTGAAGATGTTTTTGAGTTTGCGGAGTTTTTTGATGGGCATGTTTTCGTTAATGAGAAGGGTAAAGCCGACAGCTTGATCTTTTTTCTTTATTGAACTTATGAGTAGCTTCTTGTTTCTTGTGGGTTTGGTGGGTGATTCATTGAAACCTTACCCATTTCTTAGAAGTGGGAGATAACGAATTTATGAATGATTCCATTGCTTAATGTTGATTGATATGCTTACAGATTGCTCCCTTTGAGGTTTTCTGATGTGCATTACCCATTTCTAAGAACTGTTTAATGCTTGGATCATGTTTCTCTCCATATGTTTAAAGTTTCGATTGAAGTTAACTTATTTAGTCAAATAATTACAGGTGCTCAGTTTAAGGCTGTAGTTGAATATGCACCTTCACAGCGTGTTCCCAGATCATCGACCAAAAAGGATGGTCGTGAGGGGACTATATACAAAGGTAATGATCGGTTGGTGAGAAGCGGAGAGTACGTGGTTGATCTTGTTTTATATTGGTTATTATTTTAGTGTAAATTGTCTTTTCTCGATGAAAGCAGATCCGGATTATTTGGAGTTTCTCAAACTTATTGCAAAGCCTGCTGAGCATCTTCCAAGTGCTGAAATACAGTTGGAAAGAAAAGAAGCAGAGCAATCTGGTTTGTTATTATGTTCACTGACTGACTTATTGATATTACTCGCGTTCGTATATGTTTATAATGTATAATAGGGTGCCGAAAAGTTGCTGAATACTCATTATGTTACTTTGCTATGAGCTTCCATAGGGATACTATTCACTTTAAATTCAGATAATTCTTGAAGTTTTATATTTCTACTTTTGTTTGCAGCTGCTGCGAAAGAAACTCCAATCGTTACCCCTCTCATGGAGTTTGTTCGCCAGAAACG